GACCACGAGTTTTACACGTGCGCAGTGCTGAAAACCTCTTAAATGATACGATTTATTTAAGCTGATTTTGTGGCAGTTCACATCTTGCTTTTTAAAGTCCTCTTCCTTGAGCTCGTTTTCTTTTTTTTTTCCTAGTTGAGAGAGAGCTCACTTAGGAAATACATTTTCTTTATAGGAATTCAGCATCCCTTAATTGACTACACAGAAATTTGTGGGCAGCTACACATGCTGATTGTGTGTTTTTTACTTTATGCAACTGCAGGTAGCAAAGCTTGGGGTAGTTGCAACAGTAAAGGATTTTATTTTTTTTTTTTAATTTGGTGGCATCCTATGTTGAGGCAATGCTGACTTCACTTGGTAATTAAACCTCATTTGTGAAAGACGTTTTCCCTATTAATTTGATCCATTAAAGAAACGCTCTTTGAAGCTGGTAGTTAATCTTCCTATTTAAATTGCTGGGTTTTACTCAGATTGGTTACAGCTTAGTTTTAAACGGCAGCTAAAAATAGAGAAGTGTTGTGCTGTACAGTTTAAACATCTATCTATAGTAGTAGCCTTTCTAGAAAGGAAATACCTAGTAAGAGGGAGAGGAGTCTGCTGCTCGGGCAGCACTGGTTGGTATCAACATTGCACTTTTTCTTGAGTTTTGCCATCGCCAAGTCCGGCAGCGCTCCAGCAGGCACTACTTGATTCTTCTACTGCGGGATTAATTTTTAACAGAAGCTCGATTTTAAGATGAGCTCCATTTGAGCGGCATTTCAGTAATTAATAATTCAATGGTCGTGAGAAGTGTTGACTGCTCATGACGAAGTCCGCTGCTGGGTGTGCTAAAAGCAGGCAAAAATAAATCTAGAAACTAGAAGAAGCATTTTCAAGAACGTTAGGCTTTCTGAAAGAAAAGGGGAAAGGGCTGAAGCGACAACTTGTGAGGTTAGCATTTATTTTCGTCTCTTCCATTGTCCTTCTCTACGTGCCCTTTGTGATTCACGCAAGCCTGACGGACTCGCAGACTTGAAGTGCGCAGCCTTATTGCCAGAGCACGGGGGTTTTAACTGAAAAGTGTCTGTAGTTGAAAAGGCAGCCGTGACAAAACTGCAGGCATCTAGGCAGATGGAAGCCAATTACTTCCAGTGATTCTCCCTTGAGTTCCTATTGTAGGACCTATTGTAGCTTTCTGTAGGTGAAGGGATCTTGAATGAGTAGCTAACAAAGGAAAATATAAAGGTGAATCTGTCTAAAGCAGCATAATTTGTGCTACCGTTGCTGGTGTGATCTGTGGTCGGAGAAAGAGGACAAAGAGAATCCCAATGTGTTTTCACCTCCATCCTTAGTTTTCCACCAAGATAAAAGGTACTTTAGGCTTGTCTTCGGTAAGAAATGTTTACTCAATTAGGATATATAGCTAAAATGTGTTTTCAGGATTTTTGAAGGTCAGACTTGTCATAGTGGCTGTTTCTGGATGTACCTGTATATCAGGAGCCTCAAGCTTCTCAGATCAAGATATCCATGACTAGAGCAGGAACATCTGTTGTGACCAGGGAAACTGAATGTGAAGAAATCTGCAAGATGGGAAATATTATCCGATATTTTAGGCTGCCCATCTGAAGAACATGAGCTTATATTCACAGAAACCGATAGAACTATTGTATGTCTGGAAATTTTTACAACTCAAATACCCATAAGTTAGTCTTCCACAGATCTTTGTTACTATTATGTTGATTTATTAATGTTTCTCAGTGCATAGAAATTGTATTTCTGTGATTTAGTAGCCTGATTTTGCCACCAAAGGAGAAAACATAACCCTATTCTTAGTTCTTTTAAAACTTGCAATTCTGAAAACCAAGCTTCTAGCGCATCCTTCTGCTGGCAAGGGGTAGGAGGAGAGGCTGGTGGGGTTGGGGGTGGCTGTACAGTTTGATGAAGCTGGAAAAAAGTGAAGGTAATTGTAGAAGAGATTCTGTGGCTTTGTCTGTATCACAGCTTATTAAATTTCTTTTGTGTTTCCAGGCATTCATGCTTTCAGTCATAATAGTATTGTCACTTGCACATTTCTGCACAAACTAAGCAGGTTTTTGGCTATTGTGGGTGGCACATCAGGTAAAGGACTGAAAACGTGTTCTTTTGGGTACATGTTGGGCTCCCAACATTGAATCTGGTTTTTTATTTCCCAGGCAATATTGGCTCATGAATCACTTTTCTGTATCGTTTGTGATACCTCTCATGTGCTAATTGGAAAGTGCTTTTGCACAGATCTGCAGAGTTAGCAACATGAATTTGGCAGTGGTAGTATGTGGCTTAAGTCTAGTGAAATTTGAAAATAGTAATTCCTAAACTGCTGGTAGTAAATATCGCAGTGGTTTATTTTCTTTTTCAACTAGTGATGCCTAATCTCTCTGTGATAACATTAAAAGGCGTACAACTTTGAATTAGAAAAGCAGTGTTTAGGGGCATGTGCTTATCTTGCAACTTACATGAAAGTCAGTGGAAAAGGGGATCCTACAAAAGGCAGTCACACTAATTTATATCTTAGGTGTATGCAAAATGCAGATAGGGTGCCTTCAGAAGACATAAATATGTACAAAGACAAATGGATGATAATACTGTATGTTTCTGTGCCATCCATTTAAAAATAAAAGCATGTTTAATTGCAACGGCGTAATTTCCTCTGGGACCACAGCACCATTGAGTTCTTATTCAAATGAAAGAAAAACTTGGAGCTCCTGTCTCAAAATGTTTAGTTTAAAACTCATATGACAGATGCATGAGACAAACACAAACTGGTGCAGGTCCTGGGAAAGGGGAGAATTATCCATGTTAGCAATGGGTGGAGAATTTCAGCCGCTCTGGTGTTTGGTCTTAGAGAGCTGTCCTTCACATGTCCTGGGGCAGGTGAGTCTAACAGAGGCTGTGGAAGAAGAAGGAAGCAACTTCTTAACAGCTGGAGTTTTCCAGTGTAGGGGAGGCTGTGGAATGGGAGAAAGAGCTGGGAAAGGGACTTGGATCACTTGAAAAAGAGGACACCTCACGCTATATCAATATCCTTGCTTATCTGACCCTTTAGGTTCACTTTGTAAGGATGGGAAAGAGGAAAGAATTAGGAGAGCGTACTGGACACTACTGAAGCATCGAGCTGGAAATAACTCGCACTGTAGTATTTTGAATGGACTTAAGATGGAGGCCGGTTAGCTCAGTGATTTGAGCGCGGTGCTGGCAACAAGGACCAACACCGAGGTCATGGGTTTGATTCCCGCTCGGTCCCCATGTGTTGCCAGGTCTAGTCGAGAGGTGGCGTCCCTGCCCATGACAGGGAGGTTGGACTAGATGATCTCTAAGGTGCCTTCCAGCCTAGGCCATTCTATGATTCTATGTCAGGAAGGAGGAAGGAAATGGGATTTGGAGGCTGGAAGGGCAGCAGTCAGGGTACCAGATACGTGCTTCAGGGATAGTTCTGAGTATATCAATGTCTGTTTGAACTGATCTTGTTGGAAAACTATGGGTTTGGATTTAGTTCTGGCAGAGTCCAATTGTGGCAAAACTCTATACACAGAATTACATTGACACTTCTAAACTGAGGTTTTAAATTATTCAACTTTGATAACTGGTTGATTGCTCACTAGGCAGCCTAGTTACAAATTCAACTTGCCCGGAGAACTACGTTTCCTGTATTAACCCTGAACTTTGTTTATCCAGGATTAGCTCGGAACGCAGAAAAGAGAAGTCGAGAGATGCAGCCCGGTGCCGAAGGAGCAAGGAATCGGAAGTATTCTACGAACTTGCTCATCAGCTGCCCCTGCCCCACACCGTGAGCGCACACCTGGACAAGGCCTCCATTATGAGGCTGACCATCAGCTACTTGCGCATGAGGAAGCTGCTGGATGCTGGTACGTGGATAACGTAGCCGAAACTGGACAAGGGGCTGGAGGTATATTGAGCAAGAAGCTATTTCTCAAACCTGCCAGCAGATAAATATAGTAAGAGTTGCTTCCTTTCCATGGAAAAGAAGATGACCTCACAGTAGAAGTAGACTACTGGGGATGGCACAGGAAAAATATTGGCCACTGTACAACAGACCTTGTTTTTTCCTTTCTATTCTGATGATTCCATTTGGCTCATAGTGCTTATAATGCCATAGTGTCATTTTCAGTCTCAGTTAGCTTATGAACCAGTATCTGCACAGCATGCTGTGGATGCTGTACTGGTTATTTATACTCATCCATGCCTACCTATACCCTATGGAGGAGTAACTTTGGTAGCTCTACTCTGAAATGTCTTCTGGAAAGCCCCTGAGAAAAGTTTGTAATACCTTCTTGAGGTAAATGGTGATAATTTTGCTATGTAGACTTTTTCCTTAAGGCAGAAGGTTTATTGGTTTATGCGTTAAAGCACAGAGAAGCTAGCCTTACTCTGATTTTCTGTGATTTGTGATACCATTACTAGAGCTTGAAGAATTTAATTGATCGCTTAGCTGATTTAATTATACTGGTTTTGAACAGTCCTGCAAGATTGACTCGTTGCAGACTGGTGCCAGCAGTTGTTCCTGCCGGTAAGTGAAGAATGGCTGATGTTCACTTAAATAAAAATCTGTGGCTGCTTGTAGGTGAGCTGGAGACAGAAGCCAAAATGGAGAAGGAGCTGAACTGTTTCTACTTGAAAGCTCTTGATGGATTTGTCATGGTTCTGTCCGAAGATGGGGACATGATTTACATGTCTGAAAACGTGAACAAGTGTATGGGACTCACTCAGGTGAAACACTGACATTTCCTAAGATTCTTTCAAATCTATAAAAGTTGTTATACTTTTGTCTATATGAAATCACACCTGTATACCTCTTACTTTTTGCAGTTTGAGTTGACGGGGCACAGTGTATTTGATTTCACTCATCCATGTGACCATGAAGAGCTGAGAGAAATGCTTACACACAGAAATGGTGAGAAGAAAGAAAAAAATGGATTTAATTTACTTATGGATAGTTCCTGTGTGCATTAGTACAGTTGGATATCTGCCAGAAAAAGGTGTTGAGAGAACAAACTAGTATATTGTGCTGCTTAAATCTCAAAATAAACCCAGTTCAGAGATACTAACAACAGAAATAACCAGAATGTTTGGGCAGTATCCTAATTGTAGGAGAGGTGAGACTTCAGTAGTACTTTTTATTGTAAAAGAAAAGTAATGACTAAAATGGAGTTACTGAGAGTTGAAAGAATTCCCATGCTTAGAGGAGTAAAATTAGAGATTGAATGTGAATTGTCTTAAGTGATAGCTGTAGATAGACATGGAGAAGTTAAATTGGTGCATTTGTCTTGGTTTGGGTTTGCCTTTACAGGACAACTCAGACGGAAATGCTTTCTTCCAGAAGTCTGTGGTGGTATAGCTAAACTCAAAAAAATACTATGTTTAGGACACCGAAAAACTAATAGGGAATACTTAGCCCCAAAGAGGGCTTTGGGATTGATGCTTCTCTGTACCTTTTAAATGGTGCATAAAATTAGTACCTTTTCACAGATTTCTGACTCTTCTCTGTCTGAGGGAGGAGAACACCACGTTCACATATTCCATATGCTCTTGGATTTAACAAGGGCCCATGAATTACTGCCTTTATGCCTTGTCGGAGTTTGTTAAACAACTATAAAGACTTGATAGCCTGCATGCCACCATGCAGTCTATTTTACTCAGCTGTTAAAAGTTTAAAATCTGCCCTTTCTAATTCCTGTTTCATCAAACAAGGGTTATATGGACTCTGAATCTAGATAGCGATAATTTTCCAAGCCTGACCTCTGCTTTCATGTAGCACTGTACATCAGAAATCATCTGTTGTCCTTCTGTTTAATTCGGTGAAAGAGACCTGATAAGATACTGCATTAAGGGTGCTGACTTCAGTTTTCTAAGCTTTTTCTAAACTTGTCTGACCTTAGTAGTGAAGTATGTTTGTAAGGCTAGATTAGACTTCACCCCCTTGTTCTGGAATACAGTAATGCATCTGGGGCAAGGGTGTGGGAAAACATCTTCACTAAAGCAGTGTAAAAAAACCTGAAAAAATACCCAAACAGATCTACTGCAGCTCTTACATCAGTGAAATTTTTTTTGTTTTCAATTGCATGTTAAGTAGTCAAGCCACCATGAAGAATTTTGTACCTGCTATTGTCTATGGAGGATGAGAGCAAATTATTGTAGAAAATTTAAGCTCATATGTTGCAGACTGCCACCCTCTGCCACGATTTGGTCCTCCCTCCTCAGCACACCTTGGCAAACTTGCTCTTCCACTGCTCCTTGTCCGAGGTTCTTTGTTTCCTTCTTCCACTCCCACCGAGCTGCTTGCAGCTCTCCTGATAGGATCGGTTTGCATTTTCTTTGCCCAGAATTGCCTAGCTAGTAATTGACTCTGAAAGGTTCTCCCCTGCAAAGGCAAAACCATAACTTAAAGCCTGCTGTTAGCAAGTAAGGCTAAAAAATTAGTGCTGCTAATACTAATTGTATTAGGTTTCTTGACTTTCTTCTCCCCTGCTCCCCGGAAGAATGCCCAGTAATGTGTGTAAAAACTTGGTGCCTGATTACTCTAAGAGTGTAAATCACAGTGGAAATATTTGGATGCATGTAAACAGCAGAATTGTTAATTCCGAATTGAAAAAAAAATACTGCAGTCCTAAAAACCTGCAGGCCCCAAAACATTTGATTTTTAACCTCCCCGCCATGAATTACTGATGCATTTCAGTGGAAACCAACTCAGCAGCACTTCTCATTCTACACATGCTTTTCTTGTCCTCTGCCGCAGTTTTAAAATTTATGAGATTTTTTCAACCAGTCTGTCTTTCCCCCCACCCCTCTTTCCTGAAATCCGGGAGTGTGGAGTTGGTTACGAATACAATACTGATCTTAAAACATTGAAACTTCAGTTTTTTGCCTACCTCACAGTAAAACTCATTCAGAAAAGTGTTATTATTGAAAGTGTTGTTAGGTTTATCAATCTTTTTAATTTATTTGTTGGGTCTTCCCCTAGTCTTAGAGTTCTTTAACATGTTTTGGGGTTTTTATGGCTTTGGAAGATGATCTAAGAGCTTAAAAATTGGTTTACTATTTGCTTTTGTTAGGTCCTGTGAAAAAGGGCAAAGAGCAAAACACGGAGCGCAGCTTTTTTCTCAGAATGAAGTGTACACTGACTAGCAGGGGAAGAACAGTGAATATAAAGTCTGCTACATGGAAGGTAACTAATGCAAAGAAATATATATGTAGTTTGGCAGCTTCCTCTTCAGATGTCATAACACTGTATTTCAACATTTTTACTTCACATAACGAGCTTGAGTTTCACTAAGTACTTAACTAATTTAATGATTATACTTCAGTCTGCTGAATTTTAATGCTGAACACATCACAGAGGTAACTGAAACAATGTCTTAATATTAGTTTTTCAAAACTCCTGTAATGAATTCTCCATTTTAAATTAGAGGTCATTTACTTACTAGAAACTATAATTACTGAATATGTTTGCAGAAAACCTTTGAGGAAAAAACCCAAACTTGTCACCACTTATGCTGATACCTGATTTCTTTTGATTTGACGTTGTAAATGTGCCAGTTGAGGTCTCTGAAGGACTCCAATACCATTCTTTCTGAAGCTGCTGGCTATCCCTTTTGTGAGTTGAAACAAAAAGAGCTCAGTCCGATAACTTTCTGCAGTGAATGCATTTTCCCTTCTGGACAAAAAGTAACCTTTTAGTGTATCGAGTGGTAGTTATTCTAGATCAAACAACTTCTTTTGTCTTTGAACAATTTCTACTTAGAGTGGTTCAAAAAAAAATCACAAACCCCAAAATTTCTTGTTTTTTGAAGAACATATTTGATCTCCAACATCGCTTCTGCAGGAGATCTGAAATGGAGGTTGCTACTATTACCATAACTTTCAAATTTAAATAGTAAGATGCCTTTTGCTGAGGCAGTCGCTTACCGGTGTGGTCATTAACGTAACTTTCAAAGAAAAACAGTCCACAGAAATGCAGAAATGTCCAGCATTGCTTCAGCCATGCTGAGGAGGAGCTGGCAGCCTGCGTGCTTGTTGCAGCCTGTGCAGGCAGTGTGAGGAGGAGGAGGAGGAGGACTGCTGCTCTCCCTTTTAGCAGTCTGTAGGAAAGCAGGGCTGCCTTCCTGGTGGTGGTATTATTGCATCGAGGGCTTGGGTAGGGGAGGGACTTTGCTCCGGGTGTGCTAAAGGAACTTGCGATTGTGTCGCCTGGCAGACAAGACCTGATCTCCTTTTCAAATACGACTTTCCTGTAGGTACTGCACTGCACCGGGCACATCCGGGTGTACGACACGTGTGGAAATCAGACTCACTGCGGCTACAAAAAGCCTCCCATGACGTGTCTGGTGTTGATCTGTGAACCTATTCCTCACCCATCAAACATTGAGGTCCCCTTGGACAGTAAAACATTCCTCAGTCGTCACAGTCTTGATATGAAATTTTCCTATTGTGATGAAAGGTAATACATGTTTACTGGACTTTAAGAAAGAATTCATTTGAAGGGTTGGCACACGTCAGTGAATGTTGGCCTTATACACTTACGCAGTCTTTCTCCTTGATTCATCTGTGCAGCAGAATCGTTGGTGGGATTCTTTAGCTTTTACTAATTGATCAGGATGTCTTATTTAAAAGCTGGAATTTTTATATCTAAGGAGAGCACGGGTTTATTACCTTGGAATAAATCCTTTGCCTCCAGTTAGCTGCCTGTTCAAACTGGTCTTTATTGCAGTTGCAGTGATTAAATTGAGAAGATTCTTCCTGGGCACTGAAAAAACAGGAAGGATTTTAGGTTTGTTGAAGATAGTGCTGCCTTTTGGTGACTGAAGAGAGTGTGCGTGTGCAATACTCGTCAGATGCATTTTATTGCCACCACTTCCCCCGCTCCTTTCCTCAGGAGATCAGTGTCTGCCTTCTCCAGTACAAAAAAAAACCCAAAAAACAACAAACAGAAGGGTCAGCTGTACTTTTAATGCAATAATACATCTGCTGAGAAAGAGATTTTGTGTTCTTATACAAGGCATGGGTGTAGTGAAACACATAAGACTGCTTGTACCATCCTCTGGAAACCTAGCTTGACAAATGAGAAAAACAAAAGTGAAGGAAACAATGGGCCTGAGGGGTTTTTTGTTGTTTGGGTTTTTTGGGGTTTATCTTTTTTTGGTTGGTTGGGTATTCTGTTGTTTTAATTGGGCATGATTTTTTTACTGCCTGTTTCCGTATCTTCATAACAAAACCCGAACTTTTAATTAGTTGTTGCAGTTAGATGCAAAGAGATGTTAGTGCAGGTTATTTTCTGTCCTCTGCAGTAACTACCTTACTAGGACTGGTGGTGTCACAGAAAAGGTACTTGCTCGGTCACATTCTGCGTGGAGAATGGGGAAAATAAAGGTGTTCCCCTGGTTAGCACTGCCCTCTAAGGGCTAAAGAAAATACTGTTTTCTTTAAGAGCTGGCAATGGTTGAGTGGGAAGAATAAATCTGATTCTTAATTCCTCTTAGTTGTGGGTCTAAAACTGTTGAAGCATATCTTTGCTATTCTCATATTTGCATAAGCTGGATATTCTAGTCCATAAGTAGCTGGTCTACTTTTAAAGCAAAAAAACCCCCAGCAAAACCTCTAGAAAGCAAGGATTTCCTTAATCCTGTCTGCTAGAGGAGATGATTTTTAAATATTCAGTTGGAAGTAGAATGCTATGCCTGCTAAAATTTCCCTGTTAAGGAAGCATGCAACCCAGTATTTTATTAAAAATTAAAACTCCCAGTAATCCAAAATTGCTTCTAATGTGTACAGAACTGACTCTCAGGACTTTTCCATATGTGCAAGCATCACAATGCTCCACTATTTGTGCCAGTCCATGCCATCTTTTACTTAGTGATTTTATTTTTTTTTTTCCCCCCTCCTTGTTCTAAAGAATTACAGAGTTGATGGGGTATGAGCCAGAGGAACTCCTGGGTCGCTCCATCTATGAGTACTATCATGCGCTGGATTCTGATCATCTGACCAAAACGCACCACGACAGTAAGTGAAAAGATGTATTTAAAGTTCTCCAACTACAAGAGATGAGATACAGCACCGGGGGAAAAAGCAGAAGAAAAAGGGCTTTTTTTTTTCTTTTTTCTTTCTTTAAATTGCAGATACTAATCTGCAGTGACTGCTTATCTTAAACAGTTTTGTGTCTTCCTGCCTGTAATTAAAGCTGGTGTCCCTTCTGCTTTTAGTGTTCACAAAAGGGCAGGTGACAACAGGACAGTACAGAATGCTTGCTAAACAAGGCGGCTATGTCTGGGTTGAAACTCAAGCAACTGTTATATACAACACTAAGAATTCTCAGCCGCAGTGCATAGTGTGTGTAAACTACGTGTTGAGGTGAGTTGAGTGAATGTCGCTATTCTTCGTCATCATTTTTATTGAAGACCAAGTCAGATTTTGGTGGTGCTATATGTTTTTTTTTTTCCTTTCCCCCCAACTTGCTGAGAATTTGATCCCCTGTTGAATATGTTACGTTGCTACTATTTCCTACCCATGAAATTTTGCTTAGAATACTGCTGGTCCTAGGATTAGGAATTGTGTTTGAAAACAAAACGCTTTTTTCATTTATTGGTGTCAAGCCTCTGCAGGCAAATGAGTGTAGAGCCACCCTCTTCTGTACTATCACGGTGGCAGCATTTGAGAATTTGTCTGCATTCTAGACAACTCTCCAACCTTTGTCCACAGTCTGAAGTAGATAATTTTGCTAATAACTTTTATTCATGGAGTCAGAGCAGCAGCAGTGGTGTCTTTCTTAATCCCCTTTATTTTTTTCTTCCTGAGAATTCCTCTTTTAATTGAAAACTTCAGCTGAAGGCAGAGTTGTTGACTGGTTTTTTTGCAATTATATAATGGTTCTACATTAGTTTTTAAAAACTTTAATGAATGGACCAGTATCAATCTATCAACATAGTGTACATTCATTAAAAAAAAAAATGTTGTAGGAAATATTTTTTTTTCCCCCCCTCTTACTTTCTCAAACACTTCTGCACATTTATTTTTGTCACTATTTTTGATGGCACCACAGCGAGTGCATGGTTTGTCTATTGCATTTGAGGAAAGAATGTCTAAGAAGAATTCTTAAAGCTCCTATCCTGGTAAATTTGTAGTGTGATGTGTGTGATGTTTGGGTTTTTTTGGGGGATTTTTTTGTTCTTTTGGGTTTGTTATTTTGTTTTGTTTTTCTTTTAGTTTTTTTTTCTGTGTGTGTTTGCAGGTTTCTTGTGTTCTGTTTTTTTTTAAGTTAGAAAACTGTTAAGCCTGCATTGATTCCTGTTAGCTGTTCTTTAACAGTGATCTTCCTCTCTGACAGTGGAATTGTTCAGAAGGACTTGATTTTTTCCCTTGGACAAACTGAGTGTATGCTGAAACCAGTGGAGTCTCCTGATATGAAAATGACGAAAATATTCAGCAAAGATGACCTGGAGGATACTAACAGCCTATTTGAAAAACTTAAACAGGAACCAGATGCTTTAACTGTGCTGGCCCCAGCTGCTGGAGACACAATTATCTCTCTAGATTTCAGCAGTAATGGTGGGTGTGCATTTAAACTGGAAAGCATGCTAATTAAAATCGGTATTTTACAGTAAATCTCAAAAAAATAACCTCCCTGTATCACTTGAGGTACAGTGTAGCACTGTACCACCAGTGGTATTTCAGGCGCTGTTTAAATTTTAATGAGGTCCGTAGACACGCACAGTATTGTTACTTAGGTTGATGGTTTCTTTTAATTTTTATAGAGACTGATGAACAACAATGTGATGAAGTTCCTTTGTATAACGATGTAATGCTCCCCTCATCCAGTGAGAAATTGCAGAATATAAATATGGCAATGTCCCCACTGCCTGCCTCTGAAACTACGAAGCCACTTCGTAGCAATGCTGATCCTGCACTCAATAGAGAAGTTGTATCAAAGCTGGAGCCAAACACAGAGCCACTCGAACTTTCTTTTACCATGCCTCAGGTGCAAGAGCAACCAACCAGCCCTTCTGATGCAAGTACCAGCCAAAGTTCACCTGAGGTTAGTTACGTAACGTGGATATGCTGCCATTAAAATGTATGTGCTCTTGGGGCTTGTGGAGCAGAGCTGGTTAAGGACTAGGGCTGTGACAGGACTTGAAAATTACTTCTATGTTGTGACTTAAGCTGTGATCTGAGGAAAAAGATCCATTTTTCATACTGAGAATTATCTTTTTGTTAGAGTGAGCCTTGCAATCGCGTGCAATACCACCTGGTAGAAATAACAAGAGCTTGAGATTGGTCTTTTCAAGAAAGAATGGCTTGGAGCCAACTTCTCCAAACAGCAAATTAGTTGCAATAAATTACTGTAGAGGTTCCAACTAATCATGTGCTTCCCAAGTGGGGTAAATTTGAATGTATACTGATACAGGTGTTTTCCTTTCCCACTTCAGTTTTGTGCAACTGTAGCTTGGAATTAGTTTTTACATTAGCACATTTTCAGAGAATCTGTAGATACAATGCAAAATGATGTAATGACAGAAACTTAAAACTGCGCTCAAAATGTTTTCACAGCCCAGTAGTCCTAACGACTACTGCTTTGATGTGGATAATGATATGGCTAATGAATTCAAACTGGAATTAGTGGAGAAGCTCTTTGCAATAGATACAGAAGCAAAAAATCCATTCTCTACTCAGGTAATGCACATTAACTTAAAATTCTGTATCATCTTAATACTTATTTTCAATGTGCTTCTCTTTCTTTTAGAATGTCTTCAGGAAGCTCCTTCCTTTTTTATGTGATATTTTTTGTTATAATAAACCGTAACAATTATTATAAGGATTTAGAATCAGACATAGAATCATAGAAGCATCAAGGTTGGAAAGGACCTTAAGATCATCAAGTCCAACCTACAGCTCTACACCACCCTAACACTAAACCATCTCCTGAAGTGCCACATCCAGCTGTTTTTTAAACACATCCAGGGATGGTGACTCCACCACCTCCCTCGGCAACCCATCCCAATGCTTCACCACCCTTTCGGTGAAGAAGTTTTTCCTAACATCCTAAACTTCCCCTGGCGCAACCTGAACCCATTCCCTCTTGTGCTGTTGCTATTCACTAGGCAGAAGAAGCCAACACCCGTCTCGCTACAGCTGCCTTTCAGGGAGTTGTAGAGAGTAATAAGGTCTCCCCTAAGCCTCCTCTTCTCCAGGCAATCTAGTAAGGATTTTAGTAAAAGGACTTAGGAAAACGAAGAGCCTTAATGAAGTGATGAAGTCGTAGCCGAGATGTTTGTATCTGGTTATAACTTCTACCCCTCCTCTTTTCCAGGAAACTGATTTAGATCTGGAGATGTTGGCTCCTTACATCCCAATGGATGATGACTTCCAGTTGCGATCCTTTGATCAGCTCTCTCCACTGGAAAGTAGCTCTTCTGGCTCTCAAAACACAGCCACCATTACCATATTTCAGCAGACTCAGACACCATCAAGTACTGCTGAGGAAATAAAACCCGTGACAGAACATGCGGATGATGTGAAGACCCTAATTGTTCCTTCGTCTCCTGTCCGCATAATCAATGAAACGAGTAGTGCCCCAGCATCACCTTACGGTGGGAACAGGAGTCGAACTGCGTCTCCAATCAGGGCAGGGAAAGGAACGTTGGATCAGACGGAAAAGTCTTGTCCGGGAGTGCCCAGTTTGCTAACAGTCACGCTGAATAAAAGGTATTTTAAAATAAGTGAAGCTTTTAAGCCCTAGTATCTGTTCAAGAAGTAAGATTTAATACACTTTTAAGTGATGCCCACTGTTGTATGTTGTCTTCAGCATTCTGCTTCAAAGTAGAAATTGATACCTTTAAATTCAGACATTTCAAACAAGTTCTTTTGTCGTTGTGGTTTTTTTTCACAGTAAGCTTCCCTAAATTTAATTTCACAGTAGCCTTTACATAAATGTCTTATGTAATAGGCAGCTGCTATATGCAAACTATTAATAATTTTGTTCTGCCCTTGTATCTGATACACAGCCTTTTGAAAGAATGCAGTAGGCAATTTTACAAGTAGTTACTCCCACACAGTATTTCTATTTCATTACGAGGTAAGAGGTGAACCAGTCTGTGATTTATTGCTTTTAAAATGAGCTGTATTTCATAACAATGAACTGTGGCATATGTAGTAGACATTTATCATGACAGAAAATTCTACAAACATCAGACTTTTGATACCTAGAAGATTTATCTGTACATAGAAATACTCAGAATAGACTTTTCCTCACTTTTGCCTCCCTTCTTCCTGTTGCAGGTGAATTGCTAAACTTTTATGCTTTTTTCTGCAAAGACTTTTTTTTGAAATTTTTGTTAACTCATTTCAAACTTCACAGCAAGATTAAAAGCTAACATTTGCTATTCTCCTAGACAATTAACGTTGAAATGAGTCGATGGTGAAAAAAAGTAGTATAGTTCATAAATTCAGTTCTGTGATATTGTATGTAAATGTCCACAAAAGAAGAATGGCTTGAGGGTAGTAGAAACGTCTTAACAGCCTGAATCAATTTTTCTTAGATCTACTGCAATGGATGAAGAACTAAATCCAAAGATGCTAGCTTTGCATAATGCTCAGAGAAAACGAAAAATGGAACATGATGGTTCACTTTTTCAGGCAGTTGGAATTGTGAGTTTTGTTTTACCATTTTAAAATATTCACTTTTAACCTTGCAATTTCTGACATGAGGCATCAGTGGAGACTCCTCAATTTAGCTGTTAGTGTGCAGTGGCGTCTTGGGATCCGAGATAATTGCTCGATAGCGAAATTCCCACAAGTATGCAGATACTCTGGTTTTAGTTCTGTTCCGATTTAGCTGTTTCAAAAGTGCCCTCTATACACAAGCCCATTTCCTGCTTAGGTGAAGATACTCTTCAGTGAACATGTATGTTCTTCAGTAGAATATGCACAAATGAAGACTCTGCATTTAAATTCAGAATTGCTAGATTTATTACACCTTTGAATTCTAAATTAATTTTCATGTTTATCAATGCTAGAGGTCATTTTCTTGTCTTCTTCCTGTGCTTTCTTTCATTTTTCTGTCAAGTCTGAGATTCCTTTATTTGATCAGATAACGAGGCCACCTGAACCATAAGGGTATAGAATTCATGTGACTGAGCAAACATCTTGCTACTACTTTCCTTTCACGCACACTCGAGAGAGAGTGTGTGCTTTTGAGTAGCTCATCATAATTTGTCCTAGCTATTCAGAAGAAACTTTGTAGGTCTTCTGAGAGTTGTGTCACTTAATTAGGACTATTCAGCTTGTTATTTTCTGCCAAGGTATTTTGTCTCCAAAATCTTTGTCTGTTACTGTCTGTTCTTAGTATTTTAAAATCCTGAGCTTTGCCATTACATGCTATTACCTCTGTTCTTGCCTTCATTGCAAATTCCCAATTCTGTTAAGTTTTGCACGGTTAGTTCTTGGTTTCTCTACTGCAATGTAGCCTTTGAGATTCTTTGTTTCCATCTCCTAGGTGTAGTCATCAATGTGTCCTACGCTGCAGGATTCTCTTTCTTCTAAACCATGAATTTTAGCATTCTGGTTTGAGCATGAGACAATTGCTGCATCATTGCTTTCCTCTAGAAGAGCCAAGAGAGCTGTTATTAGTCCATTTTTTTCTATGAGGAAAGCAGACTTGATTTTAAAAATAATCATACTCATGCCATTGTTTTCATTTTCTAAATGCTTTGCACTTTCATGCATGTTATTCTGTTGCTTCCAGGAGCCCTGTAAGAATTCACAGCACTGCAAGAAATTTTGTTGCCTTTTTCTCATGCCATGGTGCTACAGCTGTCATAGTGTTACTGATAGAATATTCAAAATAGCATGAGATGTCCTTAAATACACAGAGCACAAGCAGTTCTGTATTAACTGCTATAATAGCGTAGAGGCTTCTATGCTTAGTGCCTTTCTAAATGCCTATAGGTTCTGACCGCATCCTTGACTAAACCTGTTTCTTTTTTCCTTTATCTGACAAATGCGTTATAAATATTTTTATGGTTTCTGCACAGTCAGAAGATGAATTTTCCATGTAGCTGGGTCCTACTGACATTATTTCAAGCAAGTGCTTTTGTTGTTTGGCTCCTTTCTCCACAATGGATTTCTGAGAGGATGAACTAGGCCTTGCATGCACACGGAAGGAAAAAATCATGTTAAACCCAGGCTTGTGCTACATGGTGTTCAGGGATTGTGCAAAAACTTGCAACGACTTCTTAGCTGTAAGGAAGCAAGACCTATTTTGCACAGAGTGAAAATAAGTGAAGACCACAGTAAATTACTACTTTAGTTTCCTAGAAAACAGGAGAATTAGACAAGGGAAATATGTCTTAGAGCAAGATTATGAAATAATCATCCAAATCGTCACACTGAAGAAGATCTGTGCTATATCTCTCTTAATATGAAGTGCTATATTGCATTCACAGTAGAATAAATAAACCAGCAACCATGTAGGTGACTGACCGTACTATGAAATGTAGCTTCTAAGTCAGAGTTGTTTAACTGTAACTTCTATTTTACAACTGTCCTTTTGACTTGCATGGATGTTTTATAACCTGAAAACATACGCTCTTCACTCTTTCAAGTATTCAGGATAATGTCAGTGTTCTGAAATACCTTTTCCTCTTTTTGCAGCAGTCAGTACCACTAACCAGGCACAAGATTCAACTCTTTTTGCTAGCAAACTCGTTACTAAGATGGTGTTTTTTCCTTCCATCCCATCTGTTTCAGTGGTAGCTGTTTCTTACGTATTGTAATTATATGGAGCCCTTAAAAGCTTTCTAATCTCTGTATCTTCTGTGCTGTTGTCAAAACAATATGCTAAGGAGCCACATCTGCAATAAAATGGCTTAGGACAAGGCTTGGGTCAGATGGCTTGGTGGCTGTAACTAGGGTGCAAGCAGAATTTACATCTTAAATTTAGATAGAATCGACCTCCCGAGGTTCCTGAATCTCCTGTCTACACCATTAATTCCAGTGCTAAAAACCAGTAGAGACTTCAGTGAAAACCTGATGCTTACTCACACGAGCGCAGCGGTAATTAAAGGGGTGCGTACGCGTACACGCTAATCTTGAGCGTGGTAACTGGCGATAACTGGGATTTAGTAATTGTTTTCTGTGAGGGAAGTAAGGTCTCAAAATCGGATTGAGTTTTCTTTTAAATAATTTTCAAGGCCAGTGTACTTGGAAATATGTTTCTCCCCAAGTTCCGAATGAAGTCTGCTTTAACTTGTTAACAATGCCCACATTAGTAATTAGTGCCAGGGAGCTGTCGGTTTGGCAGAGGGACATGCAGGGCTATAAAGATATAGTATCCAATAAAGAAGATTTATTTTATTTCTTTCTAGGGGTCTTTATTCCAGCAGACAGGTGACCGTGGAGGAAATGCATCGCTTGCTTGGAAACGCGTAAAGGGATGCAAAACAAATGGTCAGAATGGAGTGGAGCAAAAGACAATCATTCTACTATCAACTGGTTAGTACTTTCTTGTAGCGTGTAGTGGGGGGTGCAGAGGGGCTCTGTGAAAGAGAACCGAGTGACAAACACACCCCCGAACTTGCCTCCTTTATGAGCAATTGAGGAGGAAAAGTTGAGCATGGCAAATAAAAGCGCGCTTTTTCTCCTTCCCCTCCCTCTTTAGACATAGCGAGTAAACTTCTAGGGCAGTCAATGGATGAAAGTGGACTGCCCCAGCTCACGAGTTACGATTGCGAAGTAAACGCTCCCATACAAGGCAACAGAAACCTGCTACAGGGTGAAGAACTGCTCAGAGCTCTGGATCAAGTTAACTGAGCTTTCACAATACTTGTTCCTTTTTTGGACACTGGTGAATCATCACCTAAAGCAGTCTATTTATATTTTCTATATCTGATTTTAGAAGCCTGGCTACAGTACTGCACTAATTCAGTTAGTTCAGTTTTGATCCCCTTTCTACTTATTTTGACAGTCTTTTTAATATGTTCTTTATGTAACAATAACTCAAACTATAGTGCATTTTTTATAATTCTTTGGTACATACACTTTTAAGTCCATTACATTTAAAATACACTTGCAGTAGCAGCTTTGAAATATGCACCTGGTTTAAAAACAAAATATTTATTTTTTGGCTGGGGAGTTGGTCACCAAAACTTATTATTAGTAAAATGTCAACACCGGAAAAAAATACCTGGCAATACTTCCATCCTGCTCTTCATAGGTAGTTGGAAGACTTGTGCTCTCTTCCTCTTTATGTTCAAATAAGTTTTTTTTATTTTAATAGTTTTTATAAGAAACAACGCTTTGCAGCAGTGCATTGTAGCCACAATCGCACAATATATTTTCTTAAAAATTACCAGCAGTTCCTCATGCAATATATTCTGCATTTATAAAAACTAGTTTTTAAGAAGAATCTTCTTTTGTTTGCCTGTGAAATCATGTTTAAACCCAGATTACGTCATTATTTTAATCACGTTGTAATATAAATCGTTCTTAACTGCCGTCTTATGCTTTTGACTTTAAATGAGTGTGGTTAGTCAAAGGAAAGGCTTTATCTGGAAAGGGCTAGCAGCATTTTATCTGGATACGTTCTCGATTTAGAGAGAGTTTGATGTTCATTAAAGTAGTCACTTTGCCAGCTTAAAAAAAAATAAAATCCCTGCCTGTAGTTGTTGAAGTTAATGCTAATATTGTGTATGAACTTAAATCTAAATGTTCAGCTTACCCTGTGTGGTATAGGTGATATTTCAAGCAGATTGTAAAACATCTTGCATTGTTAGCGAAGTTTTCTCTAGTACATCATTGAGTTGCTCAATATTTTGATGTTTTGGTTTTATGCACCTTGTTGCTATTAACATCCATATGTTTCCATGTAGATTTCAATAACTTGAATATATTTAGAAGCCTTTTTATTTAGAAATATATAGTTGTCACAAACATCTTATTTTCCTATATGTACTGTACAAAACCTTCATTCACTCATTCTTTTGCTCTTTGTGGTTGGATCTAACACTAACTGTATTGTTTTCTTACATCAATAAACTATATGTGGACCAGGCCCCCTTGGGGAGTGTGTTATCTGAGAGAAATGAGATAATTTATATTTTTGTTAGTGGTTATTGTTCATCCGTGTTCCCTTTTTAACTTAGAGTTGATTGGAAATCACTGCTTTCTTATTTTGATTGTAACATCTCCGCGTTAATTATTTGAGCCTGTTCCGTACTGAAGTCTCCTAGACAGTGTTGTACTACCGCTCGCCAAAGATGTTAAACTTTTAAATCTGTTGTCACACCAGTTAGCAAACGTGAAGGTGAGGAGACGGCACATTTGTGTTACATTAAAGGGGAAAGATTCTTCCTTATTAACAACTTCAAGGCTTGTCTCTGGAAGCTTTACCAAGGTAACACTGGAAAGCAGGAATAAGTAAAATTCACAGGAATGATCAGTTAAAGGTGGATTTTTATCACAAAACTGCATGATTAAAAAATTAAGCTGGTACTTGATGTTAAAGCTTATTCTACATTCTTGTGCTGTTGACCTGGTAACTTTGACTAGGTGACTTCTCATTTTGCTGTTGTAAAACACGATGCTACTGATAGAACCTCCTAATGTGTAAATATGGTCAAGATATTTGTGCACCCGTCAAACTATTTAAAAAACCCCACTTAATGTAAGAAATTTAATGTGGAGTGTCACAAGACCTATTCTGGGTTTATTTTGGTTTATTTTGCATTTCATCGGACTCTGGAGTTTTTGAAATCAGTATTATGGTATGTGAGCTTAACCTGGTTTTGAAAATTACTGTTACTGTTTCACTGAAATGAGCACTTTTCAAATTGACACAACTGTCTTCAACTTAATGGAGCGTCTTAGCCACCAACTAAGAAAAAAAAAAAAAAAGGCACTGGTAGCAGAGGATAGTTGCATAAAAGTTTGAATAGAAGTTCCATGAAGAGAGGAGAAAGAGTATGAATGCACTAACTTAGAGCTGAGGCTTCGTGCAGGGAATGTTTTGCACACATACACCTGCTATTGAATGTTAGAAGAGTTTTAATGCAGCCTTTTAAGTGTCCAAAGCTTGCCAAGTTCTCTGGATAGAAGCAGCAGAGCTACGGTGTGCCTGCCAGGTGAGGTCTCTGTGACAGGAGTCGTTTCATGGCACCTCCTTCTCTTGCCAGCAGTTAAAAGTTTTTAACAGGGAGGTTGCTGAAGGCTTTAGTAAAGCGCGAGGGGCATCCCTTCCGCTTAGCGCTGTGCCTCTGAGAGGGTGAGGAACAGGCTGCCCAGGGAGGCTGTGGAGTCTCCTTCTCTGCAGACATTCAAAATCCACCTGGACGTCTTCCTGTGTGACCTACTGTGGGTGATCCTGCTCTGGCAGGGGGGCTGGACTGGTTGATCTTTTGAGGTCCCTTCCAACCTCTGACATTCTAGGATTCTGTGAGGAGAGTGTTGCAGACATGTGAAAGGTACAAGTGGGTTTTGCTTTTCTTCCTGCCCCGGCAAGCTTTGAGCTGGCCCGGTGGGTTATCCCTTTTTCATCTCCCACGAGAAGCTTTGTACCATCCTGCGTGATGTTATTCTGCTGCTCTCTTGACTCTGTTTTGTAGGAGCTTGAGCTATTTGGGCCTGCAAGTTCCTTTTCAGTGTACTTGAAATTAAGAGGGCTGTAAATTTTCATAAAGAAAAACTCATGTTAAAAAAGAGGAGAAAGACTTAAGTGACCCACATAACTTATGGTTATGAGCCTGGTGGAATCATCTCTGGTCTCAGTGACAGCAGCTGTGGATTTAAATGAGCCATGTTTCATCTGAGAGTCTTCCCAACTCTCATGTATTTTTTATTACACGTAGTAAAAAGGCATAGAATTTTGTTTACTGTCCTGGTAAAAGTGACTGAAAGAAGCAGTTATTGGAATGAACTGCACTAGCTGTATTGGTTTACTGTAGGGGGAAAAAAATGAACCACAAAAAAAACAAACCAAAAAACCACAAACCTCCTACAGTCACTGAGGAAAGCACAGAAAAGGAACAATAATTGCCCTGGCCCTCTAAGAGCTTTGCTAAATGCAGATGGAAGTTCACAGAACCTAGAAGTACACCTTTGATTTGTCTCTTTTGTGGTTTACTATTTTTTCTTTTCCTCTTTAATTTTTTTTTTCTTAAGACTGTAGGAATATACAACCTGATTCTAAATGTACTTTGGATGACAATCTTCTAGAATACATGACTTTCTAAATGTTTTCTTAGTGATTTTGAATAATGTCTTTGCTAACTTTTAGTACCTTTTAAAATATTGAGGCACTACACTAAAGCATTTGTTCTTTGCCAGTAGTAAAGAAATTGTAGGTAGATACAGTGATTCCTTCTGCATATGAAACATGCTAGATTATCTGGAAATTATAAAACAGGGAGAATAACCAAGTTAGCTTCCAGAAGTTTATTGCAACTACAGCAGTAGTCAAGCCCCAGCTTCTTCATGGAGCAACCCAATTATGAACAACAGGTGATGGTTTTGTTAAAAGGTAAGGGGATCTTTAAACTGGTATTTATGATGACATCATTCATTCCTTTACCTGAAAGTAGTTATAATTAACTACAGTTGTAGTTCCCAAGAAGTCACTTAAGGCTGCTGCTATCCAGTAACTTGATCTCAAGTGTAATGTATTGAGTAAATTAAGGTCACCTGGAGTCCAGAGTACACCTTTCTAACACACCTTCCTCCCCTGTTGATCTTTGAGTGAAACAGAAACAATTTACTGTTAAGTTTCCTTTCCTGTGTGTCTGTATGCACACATTAAATCCTCCCTGAGTAATTATTGCATTAAAGAATTGCAGATTAAGGCCAGAAAGAACAAGTAAAACTTTACACATGACACTGGTGACAATTCGGACTTCAAAGCTTATTTTGAATTAATTGATCACCTCTGCTTCCAATGCAATTAGTGTCAAAAGTCTGATTATTACAGATCAAACTACTGAGTATTTAACAGTGGTTTTTCATTATTTAGAAAGCTGTTTAATTAAACAAGGGTAGCGGAAAGCAGAACTGTGGGCTGTTCCACAGGTTGGTGAGCCTTCGCCCCTGTGACGCTGCCGAATGAATCATTTCTGTCGGTGAACAGCGCTGGGAGGGGCAAGGACCTGACCGCTGTCACCCAGGCTGGACGGGCCCAAGGTGAACCATCTATTCCTGCCCCTGCTGCCAAACAGAACACGTCTCGCTCAAATGTCACTGCACTTATGCATGTTATTCAAACTAATTGTCCGGCACGAAAGTAAACGTTTCACAGGCCAGGAGTGCTTTGTAGGAATACCATTTTCATAGGAATCCACATGAGCTGGGTATCCAGCTTCCATTAAAAATACCGTTGGCAATCAGGCACTTGGCTCCTTGGAAAGCTCCATTCTGGAGAACTGTGATTTTGGATCTAAATTCTAGAAATGGGTTGTCATTTTCCTTCTGCTTCCCTGTTTACCTTGAGTAAGGCTTGCCAAGTTACCAAAAAGTTAAAAGAGTTTGCTACTGGATTTATACAGTATGGTAGATTTTGTGAATAATAGCAGTATTCTCTCATGAAGAAGTGGTATATTTTAATGGAATTCTTTTTTGGAACCAAGTACAACGTATTGCAATTGATATTTCTCTTTAAACATTTTGACATACTTGTGACTGTATTTCTTTTTGATTGTGTAACAGTATAAAATTCAATAAAAGAGAGGGTTTGTTTCTAATTTGTCATGTTTGTGATCTTTCTGTTCATCCGTTATCCCTGTTCTAAAAGATGCAGTTGGCAAAACCACTTCAAAAACCTGAACTAAATAACTGCTATGCTGCATAACCAACGCTCTTTGCATGTCTGAGGTCTGACTTAACTACTGCTGTAGTGAGAATCTTTGACACTAAGCACGTGTGGTCTGTTTTCCAAAAAAGCATTTAGAAATTCTGTCTTACAGCTTAGGCACAATGTATCCCACCTGAATTAAGTAGACTTCATGCATGAACAAAAGAAATTAAGCATCCAATTTAACAAGTCAGATGTTAGGGATGGTGTAGGTTTTTCCTGTGGGAAGCTAAAGAGGGAAGAGAGCAACAGATACGGACAGAGCCAGAGGGACAGAGAACGTTTAGGAAATGTCTTTGAGTAATCGCATCAAGAATGCTCTTAGTAACACAACAGAAACTAGTTTGAATCCAGGATGACACCTCCAGGTGCTTTCAGTTGCTCTCAGTACATACAAATAGACAAAAACTTGCAACTCTTGTTGTCTTGTTACATCAACGCTGCTTCCTGTTGCACAGATTAAAAATCTTTTGCAGCGTTTTTGCTTGGTTGGAAAGTCTCAAAGCAGAAGGCATGTGCAGGTGCTGTCAGAGTAGAGTACGATCCTGTTATTTGGTATTAGCCATAGGTTTGTACATACGGAATTGTGAATATGCTATCTAATAAAATATATCCAAGTTTTATTTTCACGAAAATCCGTAAAAACGTGATTCATTTTCATGTTTTCAATTTGAAAATGTATTCTAATAAAATGATGCAAGGTATTTTAAGAAAAAAAGAGTGCAGCTGGAGAACTCTATTAAATATCTATGCAGCATAAATGGCTTTTTAACTTGTAATTTATAAGCTAGAAATTACTAGGGCAAAGAGGACTTCACCCTTTTTTTTTCAGAAGTTACATAAAAATATGATATAGTAACCAGTACACCCTTACATCATCTAATTATTTTTTTTTGTTTGTTTGGAAGGCAGTCAATTAAGAGTTCAAATGTACTAGTAGAAAATCTGAAGGAGCATTACATGAAAACACACAATTTCTCAAGAGCAGAGTATTAATCAGCCTAAAAACTGACTCTGTTTCACTCAGTAAAAAGGGGAATTCTATGAAGAGACCCTGTTGCTTTTTTTCACTTGTCTGCGTTTTCATTCTTTACACTGTAACCCAACTTTCTGCAAGGCAAGACAACACACATTGCATATGGGCACACCAGCCTCATCCTCACTGCATCTTACATCACCTTACACAAGGGACGTGGCATGACACGTAGCCCCATCCACCCAGTTTCTTGAAACACCATCACAACATTCACTGCACATTTAAAATACAAAAGCAGAAGACACACTCGAGCTTTACAAATTCAGCATCGCTCCAGAGCCAAGCTCCTCTGCTCCTTTTAAATTAAGGGATAACTCCCATAACTAATTAGGGCTTGGCTTGACCTGTAAGTAATGACAAATTTGCTCCACTGTGTCTCAGTTATTAACTACCTTGTGCTTTGAATCC